CAGCTTCACTCGGCGCTGCTCCGCGCGCGGGAGCTGCTAGAGACGTGCGACGTCAACAGCCATCGCTTTCGCGAGGCCTTCGAAGAGGTGCAGGGACCATGAGACGTTTTTGTTATTCTTTTTCTTTGAGAGAAGAACATGTTGAGTCATGGCCTTAAGTCATGTGGCACTTTGGAAGTTAACGTATCATGAAGTTTTCTCTTCTTTGTGGAGTAGACAATAGGCAGACTTCGAGATGTTCAGCTATCAAGTGGCAGACTGACACGATAACCACAGCCAGAACTCATGATCCTCCAATCCAGTATCTTCCAGAACCCCAGCCGTTTTGCGAGGCTTGTCGTGAAGCTGAGTTGGATGCAGCCAAAGCGCTGCAAATGTTGACCTTCACAGCGATTATCCCGGCATACTACGAGGCGGACATGGTGGACATGGCGGAGCTGGGAAGTGGCGGAGATGGCGATCTGGAGTCCAGTCATGTCTAGTCTGGTTACATGCCATCATCACCGAGCATACATGAATCACCTACTTACTACTATATACAAGTCCTGTTTGCCATTCTGGTGATACTACGTAGGTGGAACAATTCAGTGAAACAGGACAAGCTACCACCCGAAGAGTACTCATGCTCGACTTAAGCTGTGAGCAAGAGCCAAACGTTGGGCAGAAATAGGTACAGTAGAATACAGTAGAACAATGTAGAGCATGTTGATCCAAATGTTGAGATTGTTGGGTTCCAAGGGCTTCATTAGCTCAACACTCTCTTCTTTTGCCTTGTAGACCTTACGAACGAACACCGTTCCCTTCCCTTCCGTTCTTCTCTGCGATCTTCGCCGATTTGGGCCCCGAAGCTCAACCCAAAACCACTCCGGCGGCAGTGGACCCATCGTCGCGTCGCGACGACGTGACGATGGTGAACAACGCCTGCGTCAGGTGTACCGGCAAATCAAGGGGCGACAAACCGCTGATCTCGATGCAGCCTTTGCATTGCGTGAGCGGCTACTGGAGGTGGGGACAGTCCGTGGGGTCCGTGGGGTCGGTGGGAGATGGCCGTTTTTGTTGGGTGAGGATTCAGGATGTGTTTTTGTAGCGTTACCGGAACCGTTTGGGGAAAGAATCGGATGTTTAATCGGACAAACTCTGCTGGTATTTCGAACACCTTCCAGCCTTCCAGTAATTCATGAGTTCAGCCTTCTTCCACCCCAAAAAGGTTCTTGTTTGATATTTTTGTGAATCCTTAAATCAGATTGAATCACACACACACACAACCGCGTCCATCCGAATCCCTCTGTCTTCACATCTGGTGCCTGCGAGGCCCGCGCCACAGGCTGGCCAGCCTTGAGCCAGCAACTTAGAGCGATGCGCTCGTGTTTAGGGAGGCAACACATGTTTTGGATCATGGCAGTTGAGTCTAAGGGTTTAGGGTTAACCCCCAACCTAAGGGAAAATCAAAGCACAGATGAAATCCATGATGAAATCGGAGATCCCCTTATGACATGAAGTTACTAAAATCCCATATGTTTTGGCGCGCAAGCTCGCTTTCTTCTTGCAGCTTCGGGTCGCAAGAGCCTCAGATTTGAATCGCTGGAGCCTCACCGACCTTCTTGTTTGCTAATCCACGAAATCTGACGAACACGGACCCAGCAGACGACTACCTGGGTCGTGCGAGGATCACACCGGCACCTACTGTACCTTAGTATCGAATCAGGTAATAATTCAATCATCGAAGAATAGGGTCCTTGACATTGAAGACCATGTTCCTTGAAGAAGAGGTGTTCTGCTCAGCCTTGTGTGAGGGATAATGAGCTGCAATATTGCAATCCATCGACATTTGCATCTTAGGAGAGGAGTGGATAGCCATCATGCAAAGCCCGCCGGAGGCCGTTTAGAGATTTTAGAGAATGCAATTATGAACGCCCATGCAACAACAGCATAGGACCATGGATTCTTGTATTTTCCGCAACATGCTGACATCTTGGAAGGTTGTGTCATGCTTTGCAGCCCGTAACATGACAACCGTTGTGATGCAACGCTAGATAAGATGTGAGTTTAACGACGTTCTTGAACAATCAAGTATCCCATCTCTGCCAAGGCCTTTCAACTCAGAAGAGACTTGGGTCATCGATCATACCTGGGTCATCGATCATCCATTCTCGCCCATAAAAGTACGTGTTGGACCCAAAGCAGGACTCCAGCAGGTCTCATCCAAAACCGCAGGGGGGTGGAATTGGCCCGGTTCTTCAGCTCGTGACCCCTGATCCACCGGGGGTCACGGGGTCACGAGCTGAAGAACCTGCAAGCGGGTCACATCCTAGAGACCCTCAGGTTCGGTCGACCGAAGTGGAGCGCTCCACACGGGGCCTCAAAATCGCCAGGCGGGAACTGGACATAAAGCTGCCACAGTCAGGGCCTCGAAAACGACGTGAAGAACGAAAGCTTCGGGTTAGGACCTGACTGGATTGACCTTGTTGATCGTTGTGTTGAGAGAGGATCTTGCTTTGTTGACCGGATCTGCCCCGTGGAACCTCTCGTTCCACCGACTTTCCTCTCCTTGGTCGACTTCGTTCGCGTGTCGTTCGCACCGAGGCCGAGGAAGCGGCCCGGATTGCAGATGCTGCTTGGGAAGCTGGAATCCCTCAAAGAGCCAAGATGGAGGCCAAAGACGACATGTGGAAGACCATGTGGAAGACGCAGAAGACGCAGCAGTCACAAGGGGTGTCGAACGAACGGAGGATAGAGGTGCCCTTGTCACATCCACTGGTTTGTGAATCCTGGAGCATTTTTACCCAAACAGTTTACTGTTGGGGTTCTATCTTAGAAAAATAGAGCTGGCCACACTCACTGGCCGCGCCCCTGAACTCTGTGGCTGGGCTCTGTGTCCGGGCCTTGTCCTCCTCTTGTCCTTTTCCCTGCTCTCTGTGGCTGGGCTCTGTGGCCCGGCTCCGTGTCCGGGTCTTGTCCTCCTCGCCCAGCTCTGTGTCCGGGGGGGTGCAGTTCCCAAACAGCTGGAGGCTTCAGAAAAGTATACTTGCATTCGTTTCCACAAGCATTAATTATATTGGAATTTTCGGAGTTGACGCCGACGCCAAAAAAATGCTGACGCTGTTGGGGGTCTATGCTGGTATAATATCCATACCCCCTTAAGCTACTTCCGGGAGGGGGGACCTCAAAAAAGAAAGTTACATGTTAGGGTGGGCCTCTAGGGGGTCTCCCAGGCACCATCGAAGCGGGTAAAAGGGGGAGGGGGGGGTCCAAAAAAAAAAGTAACTTGTGGCCTGGCACGTGCTTACTTACATTTTACCACCCCCCCTAGGGTGCGTCGGCAGATCGAAGGGCTGGGGGGGGTTTATTCTGGAAAATGTAACTTGCAACCTGGCAGGCCAGAACCTGAACTTACATTTTCTAATCCCCCCCTAGGGTGCGTCGGCAGATCGGAGGGCTGAAAGATCCTTTTTAAGATCATTTCTCAGGAAATCACCCATGAGGCCTCAAAATAGTAAGTTGTTTTTTTTGAGGCCACCTCAAATGTTAATGTAATTACTTTTTTGAGGCCCTCCGCATAGACCAAATCTGGGGCCAACCCTCCGAAGAACAACGAACTCTGCCTGTTCCATAGGCCAAACCGTAGATCCATCTCCCCTGGTCCAGACAGGATTTGCTTTTCGGACACGTCGCAGATGCTTCATCTGTCACCCTCTTTCACCCCAAAACCCACGACTGCCTGTGTTGTGGTGCAGTTCCGGGTCCGACGTGGCGGGTTGCCAGGCACGCCGCGCAGCCAGGCCTCCCAAGCGGAAGAGCGGAGAGGCGCCCATTCGTTGAACTCGCCACGGGGTGTCGATCGGCCGATCTTCTGAAAAGGAAGCGAAGGACAGAAGCGATCAGGACTCCTGAGATCAGGGAGTGTAGTTTCAATGTAGTTTCCTCTTCAGTCGCATGTAGAAGTCACGCTTCAGGACTCTGCAGAAGTCACGCTCGAAGAAGCTGCTGCTGCTGTGAGCAAGGTCTTGAAGGCGTTCGTGGCGTTGGTGCCGCTGTCAACACGTCGCGGTGGGGTTCCCGCGGAGGTTCCCAAGCTCGCCCGGTGGAAGAACGTGATGTCGGAGGAGTCCAAGGGTGAACGGCCTTTCCGTGCCAAGTGGAATCGAAGAATTTGGGGATGACATGGGATGACTTCAGAACCAGGGTCGGCAGGGTAGTGGAACTTGAAAAAGTTCCAGATGGTTTTGTTTGATTTGCTTGTCGGTGGTCGGCTCGCGTCCCAAGAAGTGGGTCGGGTGGATCCTTCGAATCGGGTTGATGTCCCGTGAAAAAAGAACATCATCCTTCCTCATGTCTCCATTGGTTTCATTCTGTTTCATCAATCATGATAAATCATGATGATATGATGTTTCAACAAAAATCCAACCCCGATGTGCGTAGTACGTCGCACTGGCCGCAGGCTGAAGGACTCCGAAGAGCCCAGCCTCGTTCGCAAAAAGAGCAGCGTCATATCTTTCTAGCCCCTTAGAGGTTAAGGGGTATCCATTAACCACCCCAAAGCGGGGGACATCCTTCATAACATGTAGGGTGACCATGGGTGACCTATATGTTCATTCTGAGAGATCAGAGGTGCTTTTGGGTGCTGCGACCAGGACCAAGCACGCCCCCCATGTTTCTGAGGGCCATCGCAGGGCCATCGCAGGGCGGTTGAGAGCACCAGCATTTGATGTCAAAGAAGAGCTTGATAAGAAGTTGTTTTGAGCTAGGATGCTGATGAATGTGACCGAACTGGGACACCATCTCCACTAATCTTCGGTAGCGTTGGGGCTCGCGGCTCGCTCTATGTTGCCAGAGCCGATCAGATAAAAGGGGACTATTGCAGATTTTGACAGATCACTCTTTTGACTCTAATCTCCCAGATATGAATAGCCTGGCAGAAAGGCATGCATTCCATATCATTCCACTGACACATCTGGAGCCCAAAATGCATCGTAGGCTTAGCTAATTCGTGCCATGCTGAGATGATGAGATCCGTCCGCCGATGGCACGTCCAGCCGGGCGTGCACGCGTTCGCGCTCCTCGTGGGTGTTCTCTTGGGACGGAACGCACCGACCATGGTCGAACCGCTTAGCCGCGGCTCCGACCGTGCCTGGAACTTTGCCTTCGGTTCGAACATGGTGCCGTCCACGCGGCAGCGGCGACGGCTGGAGCCATCTCGGACGGTGCCGGCGGTGGTGCAGGGGTGGGAACTTCACTTTAGCTTGCCGGGGATTCCATATATCGAACCCGCCTTCGCAGCATTGAGACCCTCCAATGTCAGCACACATGGAGTGTGCCTGGAACTTGACAAGGAGAACTGGTTGCGACTGCTGGTGTCTGAAGGGGTCTTTCGACCGGATGAAGCAAATGCCATGAAACGCGCATCTTTACAAGAGGTCCTGGAGCTTGCCGCGAAGCCCACTGCAACTTTTGGATACAGGCTCCTCCCATTGCAGGCGATGCTTGCATTGGTCCCTACACGTCGTATAGAAGTTACCCCATGTTACCTCTATATTAGCTCAGCGCCCCATCGTTTAGGCGAAAGAGCCTCCTTGCATCTCAGTTTTCGTCCATTTGGTCTTTTTGGACCATGACACACCATGGCCCACCACCGTCACTCTGTCTCTTGCTTTGCATTTGCTCTGTACATCAATGTTCTGAACACCATCAACTTGATGTACTCTCACTTCGCTGCACTTCGCCCACTGTTTCGCATCCCCTCCTGGCCCTCCTGCCCCCTCTCTCCTCCGCTTTTCCTTCTCCACCAGGCTTGCAGCTATGGACGCTCCGCTGCCGGCGCTGCTTCCCCAGGCACCGGGCCTGGCCTCGTGGCCTATGCCTTCGTTGACGCCCAGCTTGAAGGAGCTCCTCCGCTTCTGCCACCCTCGCGGCGCTACTGGGGACTACTTCGCGCGGGCGCGCGGCAGCACGGCTTGGACCGGAGCTATCGGGACTATTTGTACTCGCTTCCCAGGCGCGTCTTCCAAGGAATCACCGAGTTATATTATAATGTTATATAATACATGTAATTATAATGGTTTTTATATGAATGGAAATGGTTTTGCAAGCATTGGCACGCTTCTTGTTCCATGAAACGTCAAGCAGAACCCGCTTCCTCGCGTTGTTGACCCTGGCGTTCGCGGGTCGCCCAGAACCCGGAACCGGAGCTGGACCCGACCCTGGGACACTCCACTGCAGGTACGTCCCGTCGCCGTTGAGTGCCGCAGCGCTCCCCACGGTCTTGTCGGCGTCGGCGGCGAAGGGCCTCGAGGGTCTCGTGGAGGCGTCCCGCGCGGGGCGTCTCGTGGACCTTGCAGCACGAGATCCGCGAGGTGAGGCGAGGTCCGGAGGGTCTGTTCTTTGCCCGAGAAGGGTCCGGAGGTCGTGGTTTGAAAGACAAAGATCGGGGCATGGGGCATGGGGGAACAAAAAGGGTGAAGCATGGTGAAGACAAAACAGCCAGGTCTGTTTTCCCAGGTTTTTTTCATGTTCGGTGTGTTTTCATGTTTTTGGGGTTGTGTTGACATCATAATAATTAGTTTTTGCCAAGCAGTATTTGAGGGATTGTCGGAAGTACCATCATTATGGTTAGACAAAAGATCTCTAAGGATTCTAAGGGCATCGAGGTGAGCTCAAGAAATCTCAAGAATCCATGGAAATTGGACATCCAAAAGTGGAACAAGTTCCTGAAGACCCCCAGAAGACCCACCACCAGTTCTCACCCCAACCGAACTTCAGGCCTGGCCGACCCTCGACGGCCTGGCGTTTTTGGGGTCCCAAGCTCGGACCAAACACCGCGGTGACCGCGAGGACGTGCCAAAACGGATCCACCGGTCGAAACTGAGGACGGGCACCTTGGTGATTGGACCCGACTGCGCGGACCCGTCCTCAGGAGAGAGTCGGAGTCGGATTTCTCGGATTTCTGGTGTGGAAAAACGGCGGAGACCTGCGTTTTGTCCCGTCTACGGTTGACGCTTTGGACCGGTAGAAGAACGTGGGGTGCGCCGTGAAACACGGTGCGTGGCGAGGACTGCGATCGATCAGGATTCCGGTGTTTCATGGTGTTGCATGGCGTTTCAACAAGGGAGAAGAGTGGTACCATGGAGTCATATGGAGTCGTGGCCAAGTGATGAATTGGAGGGTTGAAGGCTTGAATGTTTTAAACCAGATCTCATGTTTCTTCCGCATTTTTTTCATGTTTTTGGCAGCAGTTGCAGCAGGCCTCGGCTTCCAGCTTTTCTCTCTAGCCTCCTTTCTTTGATGGTCGTGCATGAGGCTTGGTCGAGGTTCTGCACAACATCCAGAGAAACCTTGCTGGGAGCCTCGTTCCTCATCGGTTGAGGAAACATCACCAAACCAGGAAACCAGGGGCGCTGGCCGCCAGCGCTGGCCGCTGGCGCCTTTCCCCCAAGAATTCTCTACCCAACTGGAATTGGGTCGGTTTCTATATGTTTCTATGAGACTTTTGGGGGGGGCAGGTGACACTTCAATTTCATGCCTTTCTTTAGATCCCAAAGCCCTGCTTTCCACCCACTCCCTATCGCAGACATGAAGATCAGATCCCCCTGGTTCATGAAGCTCCAAATAACATCACTGATAATCACTGTAAATAGTCTAGTCTAGTTAAATGATTGACGTAAGATTGATCATCCTGATTTCTATCCCCACGCACCGGGATCATCCTCCGTTCGCTTCGCCAGCCCCTTTTCTCGACAGGTTGAGCTCCATGCGCGAGCTGGTGGGCGAGGCGAGAGCCCACTGTCTCAGTGGGTGGTCTCGCGGTTGGGACAGGCTTTTCTGTTTCTCTTTTCTTTTTGTTTGTTTCTGTGTCTTTTCTGTTTCTTTTTTTTTAGTATATTGGGTGATGAGTCATTGGACTCCAACATATCCCACACATGAAGAACACATGAAGATGCCTTTTTGACCTATATGTATGTTGGTGCACCATATCTATGTTTTGGACATGTGTTATGGTTCCTTGCATTCCTGTTTGTCAGTTGCTTCGGGACAAGAAACCTGAATTTACTGCCAAAGCAAGGTGCAAAAGGGTGTTTGGCTGACATCGATTGGGTTATAGAACTGGTCTTGTTGATGCCCTTTCTTCGATAGATAAAATTCAACCCAAAGTGCTGCAGTCTTGGGGCCAGCCACCCTTGCTTGGGCCCACCGCTGGCAGTTTGCAGGAGTCTCCAATCATCTACATTGCATGAGCTAGTTTTCGGCCAGGAACCAGGCTGGTAGGACCCAAGCTAGGATTTGAGTGAGTTTCGCGAACACCATGAGGGGACCCCGAAAACAGGTCCAGCCACCTGGGGCTTTTCCGAGGGCCATGAGTCATCATCTCTTCTGCGCTCAACTCTGCGTGTCAATTCGCGCGCAGAGTTGGGGTACGAGTCACTGCACGTGGCAAGCAAGTTACAGAGACTTGCTCAGCACTAAGTCAGTGAGCCTCAGACCACGCCATCACCGAGTCAAAAGCTGGCTGAGGCATGTAGCTGTCTGCAAGAGCTAATTATAGATCAGCAAATAGATAGTGGATGATCGTGGCATGGTTTCCAATACCTTTCGACTGGGATTTTGCTTTTCTATAGATCTATGTCTATATAGCAAATTCATCTGCCGCAGTGCCATTGGCTCTAGCATCGTTTTCGGCTTCGATGACCTGTCTGCTAACCCGTCCACGGTGTCACCGCTACCGATAGTAAAATCAAAGTGGTGAAGATCCGACGAAATCCAACGCTCAAGCTGGTCAAGTATTTGGCTCTTCTGGATGTACTGAAGCAACATTGATCTTTCCTTCACCCCGCTGAAGAATCCAAATCCGAAGGCGTGCGACACCCCACCACTGTATGCCTTTCAACCGGAAAACCCCACTATGAACACCAAAAAACTCACATACGCTCACATGTACTCACTACAGTCAGCAGATTGCGGTCACAACATTGTCGTTGGCGTCAGCAGCTTGCAGTGCACAGTCGATGTGACTGTCGTGTCCACCAGACACCATGTGCGGAGACTCAAGGACGGAGTGGAGAACGAAACTCGGAACTTGGATTCGAAACTCGGACGTTTCACAGCGCTGCTCCTCCCACAGTCCGCGATTTTTTGGGCTCACTCCAAATCCTTAAGCATGCATTGCCAGCACTGCCAAACTCGTCATCCTTTCCGTTCAGCGGTCAAAAAAGACCCACGACGAGTCGCAGCTTCAGCGGTCGCTCCCACACACCGAGGTCTCCGACAACGGCACGGCGGACGAGTTGCGGTTGACTCGGCGCGTGAGGGCCTGGGGAGGGCGGGAGTGGAGGGAAGCAGTCTTCCAAACTCGGAAGCAGAATTTTGCGTAGCAAAGCGACCTATGGCGCAACACATGGCGCCATGCTTGTCAGCAGTGCAGCGCAATGCAAAACAATGCAAAGTCTATTTTTAGCATATATAATATACACGTGCTTTGTCAGTGTGATTTGTGATTTAGGCTCAAGATCAGAAGATGCCTCTCACACCACCTGAAAGCCTCTATTGAGGCGCCTTTTTCTTCATGAAAGAAAAGTGGAATCCCAAAGAAAGAGAGAGGCCTGAACGGCCTAACTGTGCCGCCTGGACTCAAGTGAAGTTCAAAGCACTGGGCCGGCCAACCTGCTTGCGCAACGTCGCGGAACGGCGCACGCCAGGATGCCGTTATAGCGTTTGGGGCACCTGCGACCGCCGAAGGTGTGTGGTCGCCTTGGGATCGGAGGACCTGCGCGTTTACGTCGCGGATCACAAGCCCCCCATCGTCTTCGACTTGCAGCGTTTGAAGGCGCGGGGATGATGCGGATTCTGCGTACGCGAAGTCGAGCGGTGTGTTAGCTCGGCGGTTTGGAAGTATTTCTTTTGGAACTCAAGGGGGGCCAACGTTGGTCCTCCAAAGGGCATCATTGAGAATTGAGGCCCGAGGTGGATTTGCCATACAAATTAAGTTATACATATCATGATCTTTTCATGCTGATTCTCGGTGATGTGGAATCAATGTGGAACCGTATGGCTGTGTATTTGTATCACTGTATCGCCATCATCTGAAAGCAGAAGACTCAGAAGACCATACCGTTGACCAAGACTTCCTGCATCACCCAAACCCTTTTCTTTTACTAGTAACATTTGTTTCCTGCTCGGCACCGTATCTTTCATATATAGAGATGGCTCGTGCCCGATCTTGGCACCCAAATAAAGCCCGAAAGCGAGGGTCAAGGTGGCCGAAACCAAGGGGGGGGGAAGAGACCACGAGGTCGACTGGGACACGGACTGGGTCTGTTCGAGGGAACTGTCGGTGACCGTTTTGTTTTTCGGTGGACTCAGGCGTCTGCGATTTCTCGTGACACGGGGGTGACCGGTCGATCCATTTCAGGTGAGACGAGGACAAAGGCACCTGGAATTGAGCCGAACCACTTGGGCGCAGCAAGTCTTTCAGCGACTGTGCTGTTGTCAGCCCTTCGCTTGCACGGTCACGTTGCGTGTGGACCAGGCGCCTCTTTTTTCTGGAGGGAGGAGGAGACAGACAGCGTTGAGGTTTTGCAAACGTGTCTTGAAACGAGGGAGATCCCGGTCAAATAACCGGGTTTAAGTTTGTAGTTGCATTAAGTTACAATGTTGCCCTCCGCTGCACCTGAGGTCGGCTGGGAATGAATTCTATCTTTGAATCCCCAGAGTGGCGCTCCAAAACAGACCGCTGTCATCCTTCTTGCGAATAAAAGCGGACAACCACATAAATCAGCAAAGGAATTCCATGATATTCCAGTAGCCAACCCCCATGTAACCAACCGATTCCGTGATATTCCGTGCATTGACTTACTCTGGAGCCTCACATTCTTGGGGATTTTCCAGATCGCTTGATCCGCGTGGGGAGATGTTTTTACCATCCGTGTCACCATGTGTGCCAACCATTTTTTGTGGACTGTTGAGGAATTAAACAACGGGGACCCTATTTATTTGACGCGTTCCCTTTTTTGACCCCTACCTTTTTTCTCACCCCGAAACCATATCACTCAACCCTCCTCCTACAACCGGCATACTTCCTTTTGACCCCGCAGACCGCAAACCTGTCATGTTTGACCCCGTTCCACAGGAAACCTTCCATTCCAGCCTCTCCCACCAACCCCTATCAAGTTGGGCAGCCAAAACGTTTGAGTCCGACCCCGTAAATCTGTCATTGCGACCCCGTTTCACTGGAAACCTCCCATTCCAGCCTCTCCCACCAACCCCTATCAAGTTGGGCAGCCAAAACGTTTGAGTCCGACCCCGTAAATCTGTCATTGCGACCCCGTTTCACTGGAAACCTCCCATTCCAGCCCCTGCCACTCCAACCCCTGGGAACTACCTCTTCGAACGGCCAAACCCCGCAAACCGTAAACCTGTCCCTTTGACCCGCTGCCATGAGTCCAGAGTGTACCATTCCAACCTCGGTGGATTGCTTTTTCGACTCGTGCAAGGGCACAAGCTCCAAACCTTTCATTTTGAGCACGTTCCCATTTGTTTGACCCCGACAGATTTTTCTGATCCGAAATCCTATCACATCAACCCTCCTTCAAGCCGCTGGCAAGACCCCACCATCCTTTCCACCCCGCTCCGGTGCAAACCTTCCATGCCAGCCCCTGCCCCTGTGAAGTGCTTTCTCAAACCCTGCCATGGGCAAAAACTTTTATTCCGACCCCACAAAGCTTTCATTTCGACCCCGCTCCAGTGAGTCCACCCCTTACCCTACCATCCCTGGGATTGCTTTTTTTGGCTGTACATGAGAATCCAGTGTAACCTCCACCAGTCCAAACAAACCCCTGTGACTTCGTTTTGCACCCCTGCCACGGGCAAGAACTTTGGGTCCAAACACCTGCAGGCCAACCCGCAAACCTTGACTGTGACCCAGAACAGTGTGTCGTGCAAGCTTGTGCCACTGCCACGGCACGGCATTTGCGCAGCAGCCGGGGTCAACAAAGATTGTTTTCACAACAGACGGGGTCAAAAAGGATTGTTTTCACAACAGACGGGGTCCAAAGTCCAAAGGAAGGTTTCCCAATGTTTTCACAACAGACGGGGTCAAAAAAACATTTTCACAACAGACAGGGTCCAAAGGGAATGTTTTAAAGGCAACAGGGTCAAAATGAAAGGTATAGGGGTTGAGAAAATAGAGTAGGGGTAGAAACATGGGTGTCCACTAAACAACCATATTGGAGATGGACAATAGTCTTGGTGGGGGGGGTTGTTCATCAACTGTTTACATTACTTTGACCTCGCAAGGTGGACGACCTTTGCGCGTTTCTCTTTCCAGAGTCCAACATTGACACATCTTCCAGCCGAGTGCCATTGGCCGTGTTTCCACCAGAGGTCTTGCATGTGATCACAGAGTCCTGGTTAACATCGGATCAGGCGATGCCTTGTTTTCTATGGTTAAATCCCCAAATCGTTTTATTCCCAGGTCTCCCGGACAGCAAATCCAAGGAGTTTCTGATCTTGCCTACCATTCATGACGTCATGCGCTGCAGCATCAAACTGCGGGAAATGTTGACCTCCGATGCCTTTTGGCAGCACTTCTATATCAAACATGTTCCACCGCAGGTGCGCCGTCAGGTGGAGGAATTTGAAGATATTGATGGTTGTTCCGTCTTCGATCGGGTGGCCATTGCAAAGCTTCGCTTCTGCCATGTGTGCCATGCCCGCAGACATCTTCCAGGGATTTGTGGATGTGGAGCCAAGCAGAGATTCAACAAGTTTGTGCACTTTGATATGCGAGCAGCCGAGAAGCTCCGATTGGGTTTGCATAGACTAGGCACTCACCTGATGATCAAAGGATTTGACTTGCAGTCACTCGGCGAGTGGTCAACAAACACATGTAGAGACCCTTAGAAGCCCGAGACCCCCATTTGTACAAGAAAAAACATTGAAAGCAGTACCAGGGGTTTTGTTTGGACGTTTTTTTTAAACGAAAGCAGATGAACACCGATCGTTCGTATCAATTTGGTCAAGATTGTAGTACTTGCTGAGCCACCTCAGCCAAACTGAGGGTGCAACTGACGCACGTTAAAAAACATAGAAACAACACTTTCCCAAAGTCAAATTGGGATCATACTTTTTGGTGACATGTTAGTTTTGGGGGGAATCGTTACAGACATTTATGAAATGTATCCTTTTCAATGCGGGTCATTTTGTCCATGTCGCTTGAGGCTTTAGGTAATCATAGTTTCTTTTGGACACTTGCGACCCTTGTTTGTATTTTTCATTGACTGTTATTTTTCATGGACTGGCGTCTTTACATTTCCGCATTGTATCACGTATGAGCTCACTTTTGATCAGTTCCTTGGGTTTCACATGGTTTCACATGGTGAAACACCCCGCTTTCAGGTCTGCCTTCTTATGCTTCTCCACCCGCTATCACGGCACCTCCCTCGCCAGCATGCTGCGGCAGACCGCGGCCAAGGGCCGGATGCACCTCTTGGTGTGCGAGAGCTTCACCGGAGAGGTCTTTGGAGCGCTCCTGAGGCGGAGAGCGGAGCGGGGCGAATTGAGTGCGGAGGAACCCAGTGATGGGGTGCCTCTGAGGCACCCATTGTAGAAGAAACCCAAAGAAAGAATTCCATGTAGGATCGTGATTAGTAAAGGGAACCCTTTCTTTTGGTGACTCTACTACTAAACTTTGAGCTCCGATCGGATGTGGAACGACTGCGATCGGAGTCTTGGCTGACGTCCATCGGATCTCGCCACAATCCCGATGGATCCAGACTTAGCCGCCCGCATCCGCACACCCGAACGAGTGAGTTGGCATTCAAGCGCGACGTTTATGGGACGAACGTGCGTGCATCAATGCCAGGTTTCCTTTGAAGCGGCGATCCTCACAGCTCTATGGTTCATGTGACCGACTCATGCTTTTCAACATGAACAAGGAGGAGCTTCGCACTTTTGAAGGAGGTGAGAAGTTCCCCGTGATCCGCTCCATTCCTGATGCTTTATCCATTGGCACCTCGAGCGAAGCAGCTTTGGCTTTGAACTGGGATTTGAGCATTGCAACCTGTGAACCATCCATTCTTTGTCAGGGCACTCGTTTGTGTGGCTCTTGCTCATTGAGATCTGTGGTGACTTTCTCGGATGTGTGCCCGGACAGCGTCGACCGGCGGATCTCCCACCTGAAGGCCAACTGGGGAAGTCATCCAGATGTCCAGCGCAACGTGGCGCGACAACTCTTGCAGCTTTCGGGCCAGCAAGACCTACGGCATTACTTCTCCTGATTCGAGAACCAGCTGGATGGAAGCAAGACATCGCACGGAATTGGAGATGGCGCTGCAATGATTGGCGCTCTCGGCGTGTGAATCGAAATGTTTTACGTTGAGGCTCCAATGCTCTGAGCCTGTGCTGGAATCTATGTTTGAGCCTAAGGCATTTTGCGGGCCAAACTGTACATAAGGTCTTGACCAGCACCAGCTAGAGCAATCGCATGACGGACAGCCTGCAATTATAGCAACGCTTCGAAAACATGTTTCGTTGTGTTTAGCTCAACTCCTTTGCCTCCCGCAACTCCTTGGGTTTCGCAATTTCCTGCCGGACGCTCGCTCGCTCCGACTTGGGGACCTCGGCGCTTGCTGCTCGTATTCGGCTGAGGTTGGCTGGTCATGAGTGTGGCTGTGCACCGGCCCGAGGAGTCGATGGTTCGAGCGAACGCGATTGCGAGTCGCAGCTCATTCGTTGTTTCACATGTTTTCCAACACCATGTGCATGGTCAGCATCTAGATGATAGATAGACCTATAATTCGTACGACTTGGGATCACACTGTGATACACTGTGTGACGATCAACATGACAACAACACCTGCCACACCTTCTTCCCTTTCTTTGAAATCGCTGGATTGCGATTTTCCCCAAACAGACTGGACAAATCCGCTGCATCTGTGCGGTCCTCTGCGCGTGGACCGTCCAGCTTGCTGGGTGGACTGACCGAGCTAAGGCAAGGACAGCCAGTTGAGCCTCCCATTGTGCTGTCATTCTGCCACGCTTGCTGGCCACTGCATGGTTCGTTTGGCTTGACTCTTCATGCATCCAGCCTTCACGGATGGATGCAGTGTGCTGTCATCACATGAAGCCACGACAGATTTGTGCTGCATTCCATTTTCACCTTAGTGTCTTGACCAACAGCAATAGCTTCATAAGAGTCTTTGGGAGAACGCTCAGGGATGACGAGCTGCAGGAGCAGGCTGGAGGGGACGCCTGCAGCTGACGAAGCAAAGCGAACCGGGATGCATGAACCTCTAAATTGTGAAGCAGATTCTCGATAGAAGATCAACGTAGAACCTGAAAAGACTCAAGATACATGTATTCTGTATACCATGAACTATATTGTTTGTAAGTTCCTTTCGCGGTTCGATGATTTAATGTTGGAATAATATATATATATATATATTCTGATTCTTTAAACATTAACTATTTTTGTTGTGAAAAAGTACATAGGACGTGGCCTGTCATGCTGGTAGGACGAAACCACCCTCCACAAGCGCAACATGGGTCCAATATACTCGGGAACATGAAAACGCGATGAGGATGTACTTCGAGGAACATGCCTGACCTGACACTTGACCTCCGAAGGAATTCCTGGAATTTTCGAACTTGTTACTAGTAGCTTCATGTAGCTTCTTGTTACGTAATAATACCAGGAGCTACTAATTCGTAGCGTCCGAACGCTCCGTTCGTAGCGATGCCCTTTGTTACGTTCGTAGCTTCTCAACTTTGTTTGGCGAGTCGCAGAACCTGGCAGGGAGTCGAGCACGCTCCAGCGCGCTCGCGCTCGCGCTCGCGGCCTTCAAAGAAAGGTGGGATGGCCCACTTGACTCGGACGGCAGTTGGCCTAGGTGGCCAAATCAACTTTGGGTTCATGGTGGCCAGCGGTTTAAGATGTTTGGAGCGTTTCTACACGTGTTCAGTCTTTCTGAGATGGTTCTGGAGCGCTTCCACTCCGTCGTCTTTTCTTTTTCCGGCCCAGTTGAGCGAGTCCGCAGGCAATGACGACATGTCTCGAGAGGCGGGCGATGGCAGGCACGAGTCTGCTGGCACAGCTCCACAATGCTCCAGCTGTGGGGAGTTGTGGGTCATATATATATATATATACCCAGACACTCCGTGTGTGCCATATATGCCGATCAGTTGGGGGTGGTTTTGGGGGTCCATGGGGCGGCAGTCCTATGGCAGTCCCATGGAGTGTATGGGATATATTTATATAATCCTACATCATGATCAAGGAGAGGGACTCTTTGTCTCACAAAGCCCACTTCCTGTCTGAGATTTCCGCTGTCTCTATTTTCTCCATGACGCAAACGTACCATCCACTTGGATCCCAGGGCCTGGATAGGGGGTATTTGCTGGTCCGCTGCATCTGTGAGGCCTAAAGCCATTTCTTCCGGCTGAAGCTTTGAGTTTGTTCAGGAAAGCCTGGGCCATGCAGAGTCACAGCGTCCGGATTTTTTGGCTCAAGACAGCTCAAGCAAACGCAAGTTACGCAAGCTGCAGAGATTCATCATGTTTAGCCCATTGTAGTTGTGACATGCTTGGATATGATTTGGTCAGTGCAAGCTATTTTGTTTCACTCACATCATCCGTGTGCGGTGTGCAGTGCAGCCAGCCATTTCTGAGCCTTCCCCATGGTCCAACCAACCAGCCAACCCCGGGCCAACCCCACAGACTGCAGACCATGGCTCCGTGATTATTGCAGACTGAGATCCAGCAAACTCGCATGGCCGTTTCCAGTAGATGAGCCTTTTCCAGGCGCGACCAGAGAATTTACTATATAGAGGCTGGACCCCACCTCCGGCGCGAAGGGTGGGCCACAGCCCTTTTTCTTCCAAGTGAACTTACTGTCGAAGTTTCGGATCATGATGAACAGTTGGCCTTCGTGACCCCAACTGGTTGCAGTTGGCCTTCGTGACCCCAAAAGAAGCTGCCGAACGTCGCTCGAAGCGCCGCCGAGCGCCGAGGCGCGGGAGTGGTGGAGCACCCAGGTGAGCGAAGATGAGGAGCCGGAACGCCCAGCGACGCCCAGCGATGGGAGCCCGGTGGAGGGAGAGTACCAAACATACCCAAAGCACTGGCAGGTGCGCTTGTACCAATGGGGTGAGTTGTTTTGCTCTAAGAAAGGCCCGCCTGGACCTTGTTTTGGTTTGTTGTTTCGGTTGGTTTGATGCCGAATCTCATGGCTAAAGGATCACTGAGGGGCTATTTGGTTTGTGTTGTTTGGTTGGTCGGTGGGTCGGTCGGTGGGTTGGTTGGTTGCTTGCTTGCTTGTTTGGTTGTTTGATATTGTTTGTTAGTTTGTGAGACAATAACTCGAACACACAGTATAGACAAGTCTAGCTAGAGTCTAAACTACTATAAACTGACTCTGAACCTACCACAATCACTTCTGGATGTTCCGAAATCCGACATCTCCTTGCGGCCGCGTGCCATTTCTTCCCGTCCACGGTTCGAACACCGTCAGGTTCGATGTGGGCTGCCTCTGTGTGGCCAACGTGGACAATGAGCCCGGGCTCCCGGTCTTCACAACGCCGATCGTTGACGATGCCTCGACCCGGTGTCGAGTTGGGGACGCGACTTCCGAGGCCCACGGGCGCGAACAAAATCATCATGGGCAGCTACCAGGGCATGCTGCGCATGTGCCCAGACAGCATATTTGGGAGGAAGGATGACGAAGGGATTTTTCACTTCTCCGAGTCAGCAGGAAACATTTGCGTCTGCTTTTCTGTGCTTTTAATCTTCTTTTGGTTGTTTCGGAAGTTCTGCAAGTCTGCAACTATTGTTTCTCGCTTCCTGGACTCCACGGTGGATGTTTTTTGGGCGTGTCAGACGGTATACCTTCAATTCATGCCTTTGTTCGCTACAGAAAACACATCATACCGCGTCTTTGGTGTGAGGTACTACCCCAAGCAGAAGGAATACAAGATCGAGGACCTCATCCTCGAGAGCAACGTCGAGGTGGCGGTTCTTTGGGGAACTGCCTCGCTGATGAGACCGAGCCGAGATGCCAAATCCGAAGACCCAGTGAAGTGTGTATTTGTCTTAGGTCTGAAGGTTTTTCTTCCGGGTCAATTTCCGGTTCGATTTCCGGTCTTAATACACGCGCACGTACCATCACGTACCTTGTTTTGTGGAGAAATACATGTGGGTCACCTCGTGTTGCCTGGCCATTTCGACATCACCGCCCCCCACGAAGAAGCGACGGCGATGGGCCATGACGGCGGCCATGACGGGCGTCCGTTCCAGCGTCGCTGCCACCTCTTGAGGTGACTTTGGAACCAAGAATGCACTTGGTGTTTGAGTCAAAATCAGTGTTGGAAGGCTATGGCTAGGGGCTAGACCATCTAGCTGTCTAACAAGCATTTCAATCCTCTGTCCACACGTCTGCAGTGTTGCAGACCGCCCCACTGGCGACCGCGCGACCGCGAAAAACCATCCGATCTCCCTCGTCTGTTCTGTGTCAGGCGCCCATCCTGCAGATCGAAGCTGGGCGCTTTGTTCAGGGGAGCGCGGCGTCTCAGTTGCCTCACTGAGCATCCAGAAAGAGGATGATCTGGGTTTCTTTTTTGGTCAAAACCGAACAAACATAACAGATGGATGAAGTGTTCTCTTTTGGATGCAGTGACATGCAGACATGGTTGTGATCTTATATGATCTTATGTTGTTGTTGAGTCGCACGAGTTCGATGGGGGGGAGTTCGATGGCTTGACAGTGCCAAGATATATGGTGACTTGATAGGAGTTGATGGGAATGAACGGTGCCATCAACTTAGAGATAGATCGATCCTTTTTCTCTCACCCCAGTCATTTTCGGAGGTCTCGATCTATCACTGAATTTTTGCTCGACGCTCGAGCGATCTGAAGGGAAAACGATGTGAAGACGACGAGGTCGAGACACTTGCATGTCTCTGCTTCACCCGATGAAGTTGTCAGTCTACATGGTGTGTCTTGGCTGAACACATGTGAAGAGGCATGTGGACAGGAGGGGTGAAGGTGAAGAGGCATTGGGGCCGGGTGTTTCAAAGGGACACCGACAAAAGCCCTCGACAAAAGCGCATCAGTTGGGCCCCTTTCAATGTGTCCTATAGGGGATGTTTCTGTGATGTTTCTGTGCTTTTGTTGCTTGTGGATCAGGTTGATTAGGGATTTCTACCTTAAGCATCCTTAAGCTACTTATCCTGGACAATCTTGAACGCCTTCTTTTGACGCAGATGGTCCTTGACTGTGACATCCTGCCGCAAAATCAGCCCAACGGTCTGCAGCAACAGACAGACCGTGACAGACCCCATGGTTTCGGTGTTTGCTTCCGATCATTGCAGAATGGTGAACGCACGAAGATCGAACGACCCAAACGGTCCGAGGTCTGCGGTGTCTTCGGGCTCGTCGGTGAACTACTATTCCATGGTTCCAGCCTATGAACACAAGCTTTTAAGGCCGCAAACGAAAGCCGTGGTGACGAGAAACAAAGAGAAACGCTGA